AGGAAAAAAGTCTCATTCTGCCTAGAGCTAAGGCTGCATAGTTATGGGGACACGGGCTGGAATGTACGATGGTAATGAATACTTTGATTTCTATTTAAGTAAATGTGAGGGTGGTTGTGGATTTTTTCTGTAGCCATTTTGGCCAAGATATTGGTATTGTTCAAGAAACAGTGTGTAGTATGGTTTGAGAATTAAAGTATGAAAAGGCTAGTGTAGCATGCAGTGGTGTGATAATACAGTACTGGCAGTAAGAATAAAATAATAGCTCTCTACTATAACAGCTGACTTTTAAATAACTCGGTGTGAAGTAAGTATTTGTGCATTGTCCTGAGGACTTAGGCTAATGCTTAATATTTTCCTCATGTGTTTCTAGTTTTTTTTTTAAAAAAACAACCTATGAAGAGAATTTTGGGATACAATGTGCTTTTAAGTCAGAAGCAGCTGCTACATGTACTGCACCATAAGTAATGACATTATAAAGCCTTTATAAATGTAATTTATTTTGGTTCTGAAAAACACTGCAACACTATAAAACTTTATCAAACATCCTCCGGAAATGAGAGACTTTATTTCTGTGTTTATATACTTCAAACTGCCATACCCTAAAGCCAAAGAGAAAACTCCCTATCCAAATACATTATTCTATGTATGTTTGGGGGAAATGTCAATGTTTAGGGTATAAGTCAACATGCATAGTGCAAAAGCTTAATTACTCACCAGATTGATTTCTCAGTATAATATAAACCAGACTTCTATCTGTTTTGCTGTTGGTATCTGTATTTTCATTGTTTTAGTTAGCATCTAAACTAATTGTATCTAATTATAACCAAGAGCCCAATAAATGTTAAAATCCCCTCCCATTCTAGGATTCTATGATTACACTCATGATGAAAAAAAAACACACTACTCCTGTAAGTTTGTCTACTCTTCATATAATAAATGTGTTTTAATAATCAGATAGTAAAATAAAGTATTTAAATTATGCTTAATTCTCAATAATAATAGGCATATGACCAATTAATTATTATTCCATGATCATTAGGGATTCCACAAGATCTAGCTCTAATATCCAAAAAATAAAATGCATATGAAGATTCTCTAACAATAATAGAAGCCTTTGCTATGCTTTTTGTATTGTGGAATTGTGCACCTGAAGCCTGTATAATTTTGTTAACCAGCGTTACCCAAAATTCACTAAAAGGAAACACATATATTTTAATTCTTCTCTTGAGCTGTATTACTAGATTTCATAAGTAATTCATCACATATGTCTATTCAAATTATAGGTAAACTACATAGTCATTGCTGTGACTTTATAACACTCTTTGTAAGAACCAAAGGTTTCTCTTGGTATAGAAAAGAGAATTGGTAAATATCTGATAGTTTTGTCAAGAGTGAGCAACCAAATTTCAGATGACATTGTGAAAAACAAAAATTGCTCTTAATTTCAACATTGCTGATTTTTCTTCCCTGTCTTGCAAACATCTAAAATGACATAAGAAAACATTCTGAAGAATTTTCCTTATGAAAATAACATTGTGATTAATTTTCTTGTTCTTCTAGTCCATCCCATCCAGACAATGAAAGCAAATTTGTCAACTTAGACTGTGCTAAACACCTCGGCATGGAATTCTGGACCTTCATTAATGATCTTATCTTTATCCCATTGGACGTGTGTGTGTGTGTGTGTGTGTGTGTGCGCGCGCACGCGCGCGTGTGTTTTATCATGTCATATGCAATTCTATCTGTTTGGATTATCCACATGCAAATTTTTATTACATTTTTACTACATCCTTCTGCCCATAGAAAGGTTTCTTCACACTCTTAGAAAATATCTAAACTTTGGAGTTAAAGAAATCTTAATGATGATTTCATTTAAACTAGCAAGAATCTAAGGTATGTGAAATTTAATTGACTTCTAACTTCTGCATAATTACTAAATGGTGTAATCAGGACTAAACCTTGTAAGTTGTATGCTTGTCTGTGCACATGTAGATTTTATTAAATCTGGCAAGTACTCCCCAGCCAGTGTTGCTCAGTGGTTGAGTGTCAAACTATGAACCAGGAGGTAACAGTTCCATTCTGGGTCAGGGCACGTGCCCAGGTTGTGGGCTGCATCCCCAGGAGGGGGTGTGCAAGAGGCAGCCAATCAATGATTCTTTCTCATCATTGATGTTTCTATCTCTCTCTCCCTCTCCCTTCCTC